ATCCTCTCTTTTTTCTGGTCTTTAATTAAACCATTGTTCAAAACTGCCCCATGTCGATTCACATGTGCTCCCATGGGGAGATTTGAACTTTTTTAAAAAAACGCATTATTTCTCTTAAACGTTTCCAGCGAATTCAAGCATTTCATCATTTTTTATTTTTTTTTACGGAGAACGGATTTTTAACCAAGCAGTAAGTAAGGTAAGAAAACTATGGTTTTTCATTTTCTTTTTACAGTTGATTTTTGATGAGCCCAAATATGAAAAATGTGCTAATGTGCCTCCCTCTCCCCTATATTAATATTATTAAGAAAAAAATCCTCATTTTCCATCGAAATGTATCCCGACAAAAAGTTGATTTGCATATAAGTTTGGTGTGTTTTATTTGTTCTTTGGAACCTATTCTTTCTGATGGTATACAAAAAACATAGGTACATCAAAAGGAAAATTTTTTTTTAGTAAATGCAAATCCGTCGTCATGATTCACGTACTATTAGGGGGGAGGGGGGGGGGAGAAATTCGAATCCTATTGAAAAAAGTATATAGTCGTGGTCAAGTCACAGTGGGTACAGATGGCCGATGGCCGTACAGGAAGAATAACCTGTATCAGAGTTTATCGAAAATGTTATAAGAGGGTAAAACGGGGGTGCAAGTTTGTATGAAAAGTCTTATTCTTTGAGTTATTTGACTTAAAACTTGGTACGAAAACTAAATAAATTATATAGTTTTCCATTTTTGGTTTGCCTAATATACCCCTAGAGGGCGGATTGAAGGGTGCACAAATTTAAAATGAAATTTCGTTTAACTTAAAACGCAGTACTTATACTTGACACCTGAAATGAAGAATAACATGTATCAGGGTTCTTTAAAACTCTACCCCTAACAGGGTGAAAAGGTGGAGTAAAATTTACTGGGGAGTATTTTACGTCCGGGTTTGATTTAATCGGAAAAGGACTGAACAAATTTAGATAAAATTTGGCACACATAAATATATTTTTTGTGTGTGTCAAACGAAAAAATATTAGCAAAGTGAAAATACAAATATATTTTATATTATATGTCTCAGCTTAGCGCTCCGCGCCCGTCGGCCGCCCCCTTGGTCCTGGCGCCCTAGGCTCAAGCCTTTTTTGCCTTTAGGTAAATCAGGCGTAGGTAGGACCATATCAACCACTATAATCAACTTAATTGGCTGTCCATACGTGACCGTAGAAATCTCAGATTGTTTGCATGCTTTTCAGTATTCCATACGATCCACGTGCCTTAGAATACTTGAAATCTAGGTTTCAGATCCTGGGTCCTTCTAGACCGCGTGATCTTCGCTCTTGCAGACAACTTATCCTTAGAATTCATTTTCACCATTCCGGTTTTGTTTCCAAGTCAGTCACTATAACAGCTATACACGTCTTTGGAATGCTTGAATATTCGCAGTGCACGTAGTAAGTTATAGTTCAAAAAACTGGTGCGTGCACACAATCTGACAACCTAACTTTTCTCTTAATCTGTAGTTATCTATGTATCGTCATATTTATACTGTTTTAACTAATTTATTGTATTTATGTCTATTTATTTGTATGTAAATATATGTTTTGTTCGTCATTTATTATCCTTCTATATATATGAATATATATGTGTGTGTATAAGTTTATCCTAGTCTGTGTCCATGACTGTTCCGAATAAATGTATTTTGATTTGATTTTGATTGATATATTATTGTTGTAGTATAGTTAAGTAGTACCTATATAGTTTTTATTTTTAAATTATCCTCATTTTGGAAGCTCATATTGTATCGCCATAATAACTTCCTGCATCCTTACTGGTTGACTGGTAAATCGAGGCATTAAGGCCGCCATTTACTGTTTTATGGTAATAAAGAATAAATAAAGTGCTGAGTGCGTTATCTATTATTGATAAGGTTAGGTTAGGTTTATTTATTCAAATAGATTTTTCGAAGGGCCTAGTGTTAATATGGCCGTTGGCCGCGATGAACGTGATCAAGGCAACGCACAATATTCAAATGAGTCATAATATGATTCACTTTAATAATAATATTACCAGGAAATTTAGGTGGATATCCGATTGGATTCGTAGTACTTATTAAAGTAAATAGGTTGGTTACAATTAAAATTATAAATACGCAAAGGTCTTCATTGGCGACGACCACAAGCCTTTACTCATTAGGAATTTGAAGACCGAACTCATTTTAAGTACCTAGTTAGTATGTACCAATAGTCCATATACGAATAGTTCACGTTTTGTGGTGTGTTCATTGCGCGACTAAATTCACGTATTAAAGTGAAATTTTATTACCTACATAGCCACATTTTTTTTCGTTCATCGAAATAAAGAATAAACTGGATCAGGGTTTTTTTGAAAATTTAATAAGAGGGTAAAAAAGGTGTGTGCAATTTTGTATGAAAAATCTTATTTTTTGACTTATTAGACTTAAAACTTGGTACGAAGACTTAACTAAATATATTATTAAGTTTTCCATTTTTGGTTTGCCTAATCTACCCCTAGAGGGGGGTTTTAGAGTATCACATTACATTTTTGATTGTTATATATAGTCAGATCTTATCAACAAGCATTGGTGGCTTAATGGTAGAAAGCTCGCCTGTTACGCGGAAGACCCGTGTTCGATTCCCCGCCGAGTGATTTCAAAAGTTTCATTTCAAGCGTGGTTTAATAAAAAACACCCATTTTTCTTCCTGCCTTTTTTCCAATCTACAGTTACGAATACTTTAAATATAATTTTTGCTAGTGTTCTCGTCGATCATTTTTAGTACATAAAACTTAGAAAAAGAAATGATACACTTGTTATAATTATATATTAGCGGATGCCTGAGACTTCGTTTGCATGTTTTAATTGGTGTCCCATACAAAATTTAACTCCCCATTTAACCGCCTCCAAGTTTTGTTTTTGCGGCATAACACGCTAACTTAACTTAACGCACGCTAGCTTGTTAACCGTCTTTAGGGTACCATCTATCACTATACCAAAATTTGTAATTGATTCAGGGCGTGGCAACGTAACGACAAACAATGGTCCACGAGGTCATAAGCAAACACTTTTTCAGATTTTCTGTAGTTCTTTTCTTAGCACAATATATAAAAAAGCAATGTTAACGGAGCTGAAACGGAGAACTAGTGGGATGGAAAATGAAGGCAAGGATTTTGGACGCAATGGGTTTATTTACACTATTTTAAAAGCAATTCAAAAAATAATATTTTAAGCACATGATAGACAGAGACAACGAGAACAGAACAATAATTTTGATAGGAAGAATCATAAATATGTCAATACTTTAAAAACACTTCAAAAAACTATTTTAAAAACGTAATCTACCAAAAAGGTCGGCAACATGACTTTAAAATATTTTTAAAAACAAAATTTTGGTTCAGACCTTACTCAGGAACCTTACATTTTTTTACGTGATTTTGCAATGGTTTGAGCTAAGAATACTGATGAGATGAAGATGAATAAGCAATTTAAAATATGATATTTTTTGTGGGTTGAGTAAAGAACATAAATAGGTTGAGTAAGGAAAAAAATATGAATAGGATAAGACTTCATAAGATGAATACGAAACACAGCCCGTAATAATAAGTGTGGATTTATGATGAAGCTGGAAGATCTCTAGTAAGAACTCAGTAGAAAAAAGAAAACCAGGAAACACGTTATCGTGTCTGTTCGTTAGTTTAGCGAGAGTAGGCGTTTGGCTGGTTTCATGCTGTGATTTATGTAATTTGGCGAAATGCTTTATAATATAATTGGTTTGCAATCTGCCTGGAAGAAGGAAAACTCATGTAACTACTGAATTATTAGGAAAATTACTATGTAATAATGACTCATTAAATGAAACAAACAGTAATTTTGAACAGCCAGCGCATTCTGTAAGAACAAACTCACTGTTAACCGCGGATTCCGCGGTGGTATTGGATATTTGAATTCAAATTTGTATTTTAATTTCAAATTACACGCGAAATCCCGCGGTGAAAATTGCATGTTCTTACACAATAGCACGACATTTGTGAGAGATCCGTTGGTTTCATGGTCGCTTACATAGAGAAGCTTACAAACTCAAGGCACCATCATATTTTTATTTTCTAACTTGTCTTTTCTTTTCTTCATTAAGTATTTTTATTCAAAGATGTTTTGGTTATTAAGAATCTACCAGGCCTTCAGCATTATCTATTTTTTTAAGATTCCTAGTAGTGGTTAGATAAATACTTACAGTTATTGGGTCATAGGTATATATGTAGTTATCCTATGAGCATTTTTATGCACTAAACTAAACTCACCTTTATGACAAAGTAGCATTAGCTACCTATACATATTTATATCAGATCTATAAGCAAGTTCTTTGTTTCAAGTATTTATAGAACACCGCACAAATGAACAACACATTGACACTTTTCTTGAAACAACTTCATTGTTACCGGATACTACTTCCAGGAATACGTGAAAGATATATAGATATGTATAAGTGTTTCATTTGACGCCCTGTTTATACTGAAACTCTTTGATAAAGCAGACTGCATAAAAATAATCTTTATCGTTATCTATAAAATCGTCGTTATGAATATAGTGCGTAAACTAAATAGCCCTTATTTACACTACACTCTTAAAATCGACATTCGATGTATTGTGAATTTAACCATGTTGTGAACTATATTCTACGGCATTTAAAAACTGTAAGTTAGAGAAGAATGGACGCCAATGATAATCACAATTCATAGAAAGTCAACCTTATGAGTATAGGCACATATCGAGACTCGAAGATATCGTTTATTTGTTATTCGTCATCAAACTCAAACATAGATAAGTATTTCATACGGTAATCGGTAGGTACATAATAAATCCTAATGTAATGTCACAGTTAACTTGTTTGGATATTGGAAACGAAGTTGAAATACATACAATACATAGAGGAAGCTCACTTTGGAATAGAATACTTTACTTTTACACCGCTAACAGATTTATTCAGTAGTTAAATAATTACATATTATTTATTGCGACGAAGAATAGGTACTAAGCTTCTATCTTTATATCGGTGTAATATGTTCTTCTCCTCCCTTCTTTCTGTCTTTGTACCGTCCCCGTCTCCTTCTCTTCTATAAGCAAACCTATGCATCTCCCACGGGGGCAACATGAGACCACCTCTAGGTCTCATGGGGTTGCGTACCCAATGCTAAATAATAATAGTGATACAGATGCAACAAATACTTAATTAAAAAAGAACAATATCGTACGAAAGAGTCAAACCAAAAAAAACATGTGATGATACTGATATGGACCTCGTTCGTGCTGCGATAGATGACTGGCCGCGCAGATTGAAGGCCTGTATTTAAAATCACGAAGGTCATTTTGAATAAACTTTATTGTCATAAGAATCTATGTTTTGTTAAGTCCATTTTGGTATATAAATGGTTACACAATGAATAAACTTGTTTCAATTATTTTATATTAAACATGTGACAGAATTTATGACCTGACTGTGTATTATTACCTATTCTATGGGAACGACAAATAATGTATATTATGTATATCCATTTGTTTATTTAGAGATTACAATACATTCAGTTATTATATATATAAACTACTAATACTACATACTATATAATTGGTGTCGTTGAACGTAATAAAGTCACTGTTGGAGATCCAGATAGTCTATTTTCTTCTTCACCAACGTCTGCTAATGTGGTATGTTGATTATTTTCACGCGGTATAACATTTAACGGTAAATCATCCATATCTGGGGCATATGCCCACTTCTCGAAAAGTTTCCGTGCTATAACGTGACTATCTCCATTGATTGAAGGTTGAATATCTACATATAAGAATTGTTTTTCAACTGTTGCCCTAACCACACTCTGTGTTCTCTTTTCATCGAATACTTCATTTCTAGCCTTAGCATCGACTGATGCCGCCAAAAATAGAGACCATCTCGGAATATAGTAATGGCGGAAAACCTCTGCCCATTGCTTGCACGCGTAATCCGTTATTTCACCGTTAGGACCCCATAGAGTTATTTGATTTCTGGCATTCATTTCATAAAAGAATGTTTCCTCTTCGGATTTACCCATACTTGTTGCTTTTGATAACCAATTTGATATAGTGAAGTCTGAGTTCGTAGCAAGAATGCTCTCCATATCTTGCATCACATCTAGAAACTGGCTTACGGTAGCGTTATACACCCAAGTATTACCATATCGGCTGTCTAACATATTTATGTATAATTGCTCTGCACGGTATTGCAACGCTTGTCTAGTAATATCAACAAGATCGTGATTGAATCCAGGAGAATAACAATTTTCATTTACAACGAAAACGATTTTTTTGAAAGCGTCAAACAGATCTTTGCTTTTATACCATGCCCAAGGCTTTATTTTAAAACTAGGTCTGCGGGTGATAACGTATTTACCTCTCATTCTGTTCAGCCCTTCAAAATTGTAAACGCTATGCAGTAGCAGTTTCCAAACATCGGCTGTGTCATTGCAACCATACCTTCTTTCAGCGTAATCAGCCACCCACGCATCCAAATCTTGTATTGGTTTTTTCCGCCAACCTGCTTCTAGCATAAGGTCGTATACAACATAATTCTGATTGATACCTTCCGGAGTCAGACCGATGCCAATCATTGTAGTGTTGACGCGATTCCTGACTTCGTACACTGCATTATTGATTGTCTGTACACTACCGAACATTCCCAATGTGCCACCAAAGTTATGTAACATGCACCAAATAAAAGGTTGGCCGAAGTACATATCATAGAGATAATATTGCGGCCATTGCTCTGACTGCAAGTCTAGAACCAACATTCGCCCTCTCGGTACAGCTGTGAGAAATGCTTCAACTCTATTTTTAGGCCATAATATCGGATCGTGGACGAACATCCAATTTTGAATTAACCACACAGCTTTATTATCACACTGATTAATCGCTAGAAACACAGCTTTCGCCGTATCTCTAACGAAGTCTGTTGACCATCCACCAATCTTTATTTCATTAAAAGGATCAGCGGTGTAAATATGATCCGAGGCTGTACCAGCAGTTATTTCTCTTAAAAACATTTTACCTATAGTGTTGAACAGCGGATCGTTAGGGTCTACGAAGTAATCACAACAATAGCTATCACTGAACTTATTCCATGTTTCCACGGTGTGTAAAGTGGCGTTCGGGTAAATCCTTTTAATCGCTTTTGGTACATGTCCATTGAATGCGGGAAAAACTGGTATTATTCCAAGTCGGTACATGTAGTCTACAATTGAATCCTGGATATTTTTCTGTCTTTCGTGCCAAGATTGCAGTAATGGTCCGCCCCAACCACGTACTTTGCCCATTCTCAGCCAAGCCAGAAAGGCAGGGCCAGTGAAGTGTTGATCAATATCGGCTTTGTTCATTCCTAGGTTTTGGTAAACACGCGCCCATGCTGCTTCTTGCGCGACGGGAGCAAGAGCCAAGTTGATGCCATTAAGAGCCATCCACTCCACGTGATTATTCCAGTCATTTATGTCCCACCAGACGAAGCTGTAAGATGTGGTGCAAACATTTTGATAGTAACGAAATCGATCGCTCGCTACGATGAATTCGTCAACCTCAGGCAGAGGATCGGGTATTGCTACCCTTTGCGTCTGCCATGCGATCTGGCTCTTGCAATACTTCTTCAGATAGTAATTGAAGCCCCAAACTGCAGCGACACCAGAACTCGCCCTGATGCGCAGCATACCTTGCGACGTGCGCAGAGAAAATACATCTTTATTGTCGTGAAATAAGATTGGGTTCACTTCCACTGTCACTTGGTTACTGTATTTTGCGATAATTGCAGAAGCAGCTTGTTGTTGATCACTTGCTGGGGTCTTGGTTTGCAGTTTAACTGGGTCCAAATAGTCCAAATTTAACCCGTTCGCTATTGCGCTCGCTAGGAGCAATATTACGTAGGGTAACATGGTTGTGTAACTCTCTCGGCTGTCTCGAGACTACTGAATTGAATTATAATGGTTCAATAACCGGTAGTCTGTGACCCTGGTCATATTCAGATGATAAAAGATGATCGTAATACTGTTATTAGACGCGAGATATCACTTTGTACTGTACAGTGGCTTGTTGTTTATTCAAGCTTCGATAATAATTAATTAATTATCGCATTCTTAAATGACATTTGCCCTTGTTAAATAACTTTATTTTTAGAATTATTTGTTATCTCAGAATATGACATTTTTTGTGAATGTGTAATTTAAAAAAACATTTAATTTAATTCATTAGTTCTTTAGTACCTACGTTTTATTTAAGAACCATTTTGGTTTTTAAATATAAATATCATAGGTCAAATTAAACCATGTCTCTTTTATTTTTAATTACTGTGACTTCACTACATAGTATAAAACAAAGTCGCTTTCTCTGTCCCTATGTCCCTTTGTATGCTTAAATCTTTGAAACTACGCAACGGATTTTGATGCGGTTTTTTTAATAGATAGAGTGATTCAAGAGGAAGGTTTATATGTATAATACATGCATAATATACTAGAGAAACACTGACAATTTTAGAGGTTTTTAATATAAGGTAGTAAATAAACACATTTTTTTGCGCTTACATTGCAAACGCTGGCTGAACCCAACGAGATAGATCAAAATAATGTACTACAGTATTGTACACCTTAAAAAGGTCTACAAAAAAGTCCGCGATGGTATATGCCTATCTCTTTGGTATAACCCACAATAACCATTTTTTAATTACTTATTACGAGAAAATAATGGCTTATTTACGAACAAGCGATTTTAAACAATACAGCATTAATCCTTATCCAATTAAGTACCTTAAATACATTGTGCGTGTAATATAGATCAATATAACCCTCTACAGCATGTAATTTAAATGAATATTTTCGAAGATATTACAGATTTAAAATGCAGGAACATACCGGTTCGGGCAGTACTGGCCAGGGGCCGGGCGGCGCGTGTCTTTAGTAATTAGGTATTTAAAGAAAGTCATTGTGTTTAATAGAAACCTGAGAACAAAAATATAATCTAAACTACAGCTCTACACCGAAGCGAAGCGAGGGCGGGCCACTAGTTAAAAATATATGTTTTATGTTGCAACTATTTTAATTGAATTTTCGACAGATAAAATATAATTTTTATAGCACTCAGGTTCTAACCGTTTAACCCTCTCTTTCTCTTAATAATTTGTAGGTATACAAATCAGAATATTTTTTATATATTTTAAATCTTTAATAAATGGAAATAGTCAAAATCTCTTCTAAGGGGGTAAAGAGGCGCTCAAAAATTGCGATTTATTGCAAAAAATGTGAAAGGGCTCATATTATTCAAGTTTTCACTTCTGCCGGCACTCCCGGAGTGCAACCCGTCTTTTTTTATAGATAGGTCCGACAAAAGACTCCACCCCACCTGATGTTAAGTGAAGGTGAAGTCCAGACACTAAGATAGCTGGTACAGAGTTCTACCAGGCACACCAGCCATCCTCACCCTGCCGGCCTGCATGTTGCTTCTTCACGACTCTTTTAAAGGATCTCAGGTTGTAAGAGGGAGGGAACACGTCAGCGGGCAGAGCATTCCATTTCCTACGGATAGTGCGACAAAGAAATGAGTCACCAAATTTCTTTGTACGAATTGGAATAGTGGCCACAGTTAGACGGTGGCAACGTAAGTCAGCACGCGTGATCCTCTGAAGGAAAGGGGAAGGTGGAATAAGAGAGAATAACTCCTCAGAACACTCGCCGTGGTACAAACGATAAAACGCGCTTAGTACCGCCACGCCATGGCGTAATTGAAGAGGCTCGACTTTTTATATACTAAGCCTAACTTATTAATTATTTTAAATGCAAAGTGGAAATAAGTTATTGAATTTTTTTACGAGGGAAATGTAGGTTTTCTGTGGGATTCTTAAAAGGTTTAATTTCTTGAATTCTGTAAAGCTGCCGTAGAGATTTTAAATATTAGGAAAAGTACGAATATCATCGAAACCTATTTTCAAAACGAACATAGAAATCCACTTTTCTGTTCAGGAATTTTCAACTATGTTTTTTTTATTTAGGTGTAGGCAGTTTTATTATGTGTAGAGACATAGGTATTATTAATATATATATATATATATATATATATATATATATATTTATAGCCAGGTACGCTAATGACTCTACCCCACCTGATGTTATGTGGTGATAAAGTCTAAACGCGAAGATAGCTCGTACAGCAGTTATCAACTGCCTTACTAACCATCCACACCTTGTCGGCCTGCAAAAATGCTTCTTCTCTCTTAAAGGACCCCAGATTGTAGGAAAGGGGAAACACGCGTGCGGGCAAAGAAATCCTCTTGTGAATAGTATGACAAAGAAATGAGTCACAGAAGGAGACTGCTCAAATTGGCCCAAATGTACAAAAAAAATTGACATCTACGGTAATTCTTGGAGTAATTTATACTTTATTTTACAGTCATTAGATTTTAACGTACACCTTTGTATAATATATTCATTTTAAAAAGGACTTTTGATTGAACCGGTTTGGAAAACATACGAATCATTTTTAAAGGCTATGAGTGTAGTAACGTTCAGCCAAAGACTGATCGAAGTTGTTTATATAACATCAAAACAAAACTATTTTGTAAAGATCGATAAAATAAAACATTTTTTTTATTACACTGTGGTATTAAATCCACAACTATATTATCATTTTCCCTACATGCAAATGTGCTAAGACAATTATTATAGATGGTAGGCGACATCATAATGTGTATTGCCATACAATTTTTGCCAAACACCTCCATAAACACATTATAAAGTGTGATAAACAAAAAATCTAAAATATGGTTATAATATAAACATAACAAAAATAATGAAGCTACTGAAGATGTGGCTGTATAACCTAAATCTCTTAGCTTTCTTTGGTTAATGAGAGTTTAAAAAATCTCTCTAATCTGTGGCTCATTCACAATCATCACTCAGTTTCTGTCACAGGGTACCTTATTATAACCGGAAATGCATAGATGATACCTGATTTAAAAGTTACTTTTGTGCATTAACCTTATATATATATATATATTAATAATACCTATGTCTCTACACATAATAAAACTGCCTACACCTAAATAAAAAAAACATAGTTGAAAATTCCTGAACAGAAAAGTGGATTTCTATGTTCGTTTTGCAATACTTCTTCAGATAGTAATTGAAGCCCCAAACTGCAGCGACACCAGAACTCGCCCTGATGCGCAGCATACCTTGCGACGTGCGCAGAGAAAATACATCTTTATTGTCGTGAAATAAGATTGGGTTCACTTCCACTGTCACTTGGTTACTGTATTTTGCGATAATTGCAGAAGCAGCTTGTTGTTGATCACTTGCTGGGGTCTTGGTTTGCAGTTTAACTGGGTCCAAATAGTCCAAATTTAACCCGTTCGCTATTGCGCTCGCTAGGAGCAATATTACGTAGGGTAACATGGTTGTGTAACTCTCTCGGCTGTCTCGAGACTACTGAATTGAATTATAATGGTTCAATAACATCAAAACAAAACTATTTTGTAAAGATCGATAAAATATAACATTTTTTTTATTACACTGTGGTATTAAATCCACAACTATATTATCATTTTCCCTACATGCAAATGTGCTAAGACAATTATTATAGATGGTAGGCGACATCATAATGTGTATTGCCATTATGATGCCATTACAATTTTTGCCAAACACCTCCATAAACACATTATAAAGTGTGATAAACAAAAAATCTAAAATATGGTTATAATATAAACATAACAAAAATAATAAAGCTACTGAAGATGTGGCTGTATAACCTAAATCTCTTAGCTTTCTTTGGTTAATGAGAGTTTAAAAATCTCTCAAATCTGTGGCTCATTCACAATCATCACTCAGTTTCTGTCACAGGGTACCTTATTATAACCGGAAATGCATAGATGATACCTGATTTAAAAGTTACTTTTGTGCATTAACCTTAAAAACAGGCAAATATCTGTTAATCTACATGCTCTATATACCTGAATCTAATAAATGATTTTGGTACTTGGCTTGATTTCCCTAGTTTACTATATAACTTATTTGATTTTTATTATTTTAATACCTATGTACCTATTTGCAAACATAACCTCAAAATCATTCAGTGTATATGGTTTATAGAAGTTCTCAGGGGTGTCCGTCAATAATATTCGTTTCTACAGTAATTTATATATAATTTCGAATCTAGGAAACAATTTTTCATGATTATTGGTCATTAGGCCAAACATGTATGGAAGCTGAGCAATCTCCTTTCTTATTTATATATATTTCCATAATATCCAGCATCCATCCATTGCATTATGTTCTTATTTGATTTGTTTTTAGTATAATAATATAATCATAGATAAATGAAATGAATGAAATCATTTATCTATGAATATAATAATAATAATAAATAGTTTCAACACTAACACCAATTAGCCTAGCCCCAAAGTAAGCCTTGTGTTATGGGATACTAAGATAACGGATCGAATACATATACTTACACATTTATGACATATTAAACATCCATGACTGGAGTACAAATGCTCGTATTTATCCCACAAACATGGGGGATGCGAAACCCACCGGGATTCGAACCCGGAGGCGACACCTTGAAACCCGGTGAACAAACCACTCGGCCACGGAGGTCGGAGACTGTTGTAGTAAGCGCATTTGGTCCGTAATCATAGAAGTTAAGCAACTTTTGCAATGAACGATCACAGAATTGAAATAAGCCGTTGGTTGCATCTGCAGTCGTTAGCACCAATCTGGCACTGGACAGGCGTAGTAGGTCAGCTACTTCTCCCTATTCCATCCGCAGTAGGAAAGTCCTGTGACCCAGCAGTGGAGAAATGAACAAGCTGATGATAATGATGAAGAAAACAAAAGTTATCACCTTGCATGAAACATACATGTTATTTATATATACAGTACTACGC